GAATTTCATTCTATACAAAATGGTCACAATTTCTTTAATCAATCCGCAGTGAATCACCCCTCAAAACGGTCCTTTTCTGGCATACCAGCGGTATAAATAAATTTTTAACGTCGTTCAAGTTTATCATCTGCTCTACTCACTGTTCTTTGTTTGTCTCACTTCCGCGGGATACTTCTTTCAATGTCGTTCTAGTCTCTCACTTGCTCTAATGGTTGCTCCCTGCTTATCTCTCCTCGCGCGACGCGGTCGTGACTCCGCCTTTTTTCCGCCGACACGCGCATATGGCGAAGTGCGTACGCACCTGTCAAATCGTCAAATGATGGAGAAAGCACACGATCCTTAGTGTATATGTTGTGAAGCATTCAGCTGTTCGTTAATTTGTTGTGGATTGTCTGGAATCAGTCCGAGTGCGTAACTATTGGTAGTTGATTGCATCCGGATCCTTAATCAGTCCATCCAGTCATACGAAATCACCAATCGAGATGCCTTCATCAACATCAAAACCATCATATGTAAGTTGGATATCGTTCAGCACATCTCATCATTTTAATAGGTTTCACCCTAGATTAATTTCACGAATTCGAAGATCATGTATTGGATATGATTATTGTGTTTGTGACTTTTCGTCGTAATTCTGAATGTATTTGACAATCGTGAGCATGATGTTCTCATAGGTGAGAAAATGAACCGGAAATCGTGCGGGTTTGATCGTACTTATCGAATGTATACCTTTAAGACTTCCATATTTGGTTTGGTTTAGAAATGCCGTCCCTTAATGTGGTTTAGCTTTTTTCGACGCACGAACTGCTTATCGGAGATTTGTTTCGAATGTACGTACTTTGGTAGATCAATGTCAATCCGTTCAAAATTGGTTAAATGTTCTTAATAGTTGAATTTGGTAAATATTTCAAGAGGTGATTTTAGCAACGATTTTCAACTTCTTCCTCATCATCGGACGATGGTGATAACAAGAAGAGAGAAGCGGATTACAATCGCCGACACCAATCAAGTTCGAATCGAGATGATTGCTCAGAACGGCGACATAAACGGTGAATTTCATTAGTTTAGCTTGTGAATTCCATTCATATGTCTTGATACGCATCTCACCCGCTTTCAAATTAACGATTTAGATTTCTATTCAGCTATTTTGGTGTCAAACATCGTACAGTCAGCATAGTTGTTGTTTCGCTTCCTTTGCATTAATAGCTGAATAAAAATCTAGTTGATAAGTAAATGAATAATCTAACCGAATTGGGCTCCTTCGCCTTCAGTAAGCGACTTATTGAATTTTTATGGGTGATGCGGACATTTGATAGAACAGGAAATGAATTGAATAAATCTAAACAAAACACTTCATAGAGGAAAACAGAAGCGTAACCCATTGCTAGATGTATCAAAAAGTAAATAAAGCAAGAAGTGAATTATTTGTTGTGGTGCGTTGTGCTTGCACGCAGTAACCAGCGATTGATTCGTCTAGAGATGGAAAGGATCCGAAGGAATTAAGTGATAAACGCTGCGATGGTATCGCTGATAATGAAAATATTGGAAAAGAACGAGAAAAATGTCGGCAAACAACGGATCGGCGGCGAACCAAAGAAAGCGACGAAGCGAAGAGCAGTAGTGTCGTGGACGAGGGACGAAATTCGAAAAGACATCATGATGAGGATCACGGAACTCGAGATGAGGAAAAAGATCGAGACAGAAAAAGAACTCGTGAGTATGAAGATGATAGACAAGAAAAGAGGATGGATGAAGGCAATTCTCGTCGGAAGAGTAGTTGTGATGATCGTAGACACGGTGATAATGAGAGACGTGGTGGTTATTATGATTACGACAAAAAGGTGTTTTTTGATTATTCGTTTCAGTTATTAAGTTCACTTTGTTGATTATTGCAAAAAAAATTGGGAATTTCATCAATTTTATTGATAAAATGGGAATTAGTTTAAATTGGAATCGAAAGATTTCATGTCTGGCAAATCTGAATCGATGTCATCAAGTGGTCATCACTGTCAGTGATTGATCTGTTGCCCCTCTCTGAACTGAAAATTACTCTTTCGCCCTCCTATCCTCTCTCCACGGAAACTCTTTCAGTACTTTGAATGGTCCGCTTTGATCCTGTTGATGAGTGTGTTGAGAGCAGTTAAGGTTGGTGTCACAACCGTCACTTACAATTAGTGTGGAGCGATATCGTGGTTCAAAAACCACTACTTAATATAATGAAACAGTATAGTGGTTGCCTAAATTAATGAAGTATTTAATAAAGGAGAGTGTGCGCTCGCAGTCGCCACTCTACCAAATGACACACCTTTTAGAGCGGATCCAAATTCCGCCGTCACGAGAATCGCCGTTCAACACCGCCGTATTGGAAGCAGAAAAGGCTGGATCGACACGAAAGCTCTTCGCGTCCGCATCGACACGAGTCAGTTTCTGTTTGAATCGCATCATTTTTTGCTGGAATTCATCTAATAACATTCCGTATCACCAATAGATAGCATTTCTATAGTTGTGTTATGTGTTGATATTCGTGTTCGATTCATGTTAACCGAACATGTTCATTCCGCATGTTTATGTGTTGCAAGTTCTTTGATTACTGCTGTATGCGTTCATTTCTCTGAAGATATGAATGATGATTGAATTAGGCAGTATAAATTTAAATGAGAAATTTAAAGCACTGCAGTATTTCATTGTGTTCGGCATTTTTTTAGGTACTAAAAAAACATTTATTTCATTCAGTAGATTTTTTAGTTGATCTGATTGCCCTAATTTCTATTGTGGCGGATGAAAGATTAGAAATATTAGATTTGGAACGTTTTCTCATTTTTTATTTAACTTTATGTATTGCTTTTCATTGAGGCATATTTATTTGTTCACGACAGATCAATACAGTAGTTTGGGTCTTTATTACGTTAATAAAATTAGGAATGTGGTACTGAGAATTATTGTTATGGAAATGAATTGTGTGAAGTGATATTATGAAAGTTGGTTACTGACGACGTTTTGTTTAGCAGAGAACGAGATAAAGATGAGACGGAAGAAGGCAGCGGCAATCGACCAGCATGGGCTACGAAAGCGGTGATAAAGCGTGCCGAAGAGATTCAACAGCGCAAACTTTTATGGACTAAACATGACGATAAAAAGGTATTTATTATGTTAGCGGATTTATTTAGGTATCTATTAAGAAGAAAGTATTTATTGAGGTTATCGTTATGCTTCATTAATAAAAGAATGCTTATGCTGTTGTTGTGAATCATTTTTGATTCGCTGCTTAGCAGTGTTAACGACTAGGACATTGGCCAATTATTTGGCATATTATTGTTGTCTCCTAGCGAATTACCTTTTCAGTCGTTGACTAGGGATATTATTATTATCGCTGTAATGGGACCTTACCAGATATTATCTTCTATAAATTTTTGGCTAACGAATGATTGTGCAATCAGTTGAATTTTCGCATCTAATTGAAGCATTCATCCTGTTTGTTTCGTCTGGAGTTTTTACCACGTGCACAGATGAATCATTCAATTTTGTTCCTACTTATTTCTTGTTTTACCGAAAAATTGCTTCCAATCAGCTCCTCAAAATGAAAATTTCAGAACAACGAGGATACTGCAACGTGTTCATCCACAACATCACCAGATCAACTGCAATCAGCGACATCCAGTGGTCTGGCAACAAGTCGACCATCAAACGCCACTGCCTGGAGTTCTATGCTCGCTGCAGCCGCTACTGATTCTAAACAAATCGACAAATTCAAACGGTTAATAATTGCAAAACTCATCCTCATTTCTAACCAGTTTGATCGAAGCAGGCAATGACTGTCAGTCGATATTGCTGGTTCTCGTTTCTTTGTTTCAAAATTGATTTTGTAGTCAGCAATCACAATGATTCGAGAAGAAGAGTATTGCGAATAGCTATTATGACGAGTGGATTTCAGGTTGATGGGTATAAAGAAAACAGAAGAAGGGAATGACGAAATCGATGTGAATGCTGTGAATCAAGAGCAGATCGAGATGGAGCGACAGCGACAACAAGCACTTTACAGTCAGTTAGATCAGCAGTACGCTGTCGCCCGTTCGACGACCCATTTGAGTCGTGGTCAAGGCCTTGGCTTTCATTAATTCTTAATATCATTCGATTATACACTCCACCTCGCAGCTCTTACCATTCGAAATTACATATTGTAACATCCAATAAGACGTCGGAGTTGACGATTGGAGCCGTGGTTCGTTCATGTGTGCTGAAAGTTCAACTTTTTAGAAGTGAGAAATCAGTAAGACGCAAATTGCTTGTATGAATTTCAGTGCACCATCAGTTGTTACCTCGGACATTTGTTGTTTAGATATTAAAATCTGAAGGTTATTATTACTATTATTTGTGAATGCATTGTAGAATTATTGTCGAGGTGAATGGAAATCATAACATAATTTAAAGCATTTCCGATAGTGAACTGAATGCAGAAAATTCTCTCACTGATGAGATCAGTGGGATTAAAATTGCCCGAAACTTGGTGTTTTAGGATGTTTTTGTTTTGGATTTTATTCGTAATTTGATAAAAATTCATCAATAGTGGGTGTTTTGTGCATTATGACGCGTCCACTTATCTTTCCTCATATTTGATCAATCGTGCAACATCTTGACATAACCGCATTCTGTTTCAATAATTTCGATTTGTAATCTTTGAGTTATTTCTTATCATTGCGCACACGTTGATTATTATGAGTATTATTTTTATGACATTTGGTATTATTTTATCACATCTTCATTGCTGTTCATGTTGTTGTTATCATATCTAAATAAATGATTGTTTTTTTTAGTTTCCCTTTTGTTAACTTCACTCACTTCTAATGGTTCTGTCTGTTTCACAAGAAAAGCGCAGCTATGAAGTGAAGTGGTCTCGAAGCCTTAATGCAATATCTTAATCGTTTACCTCCGAACTAATCGCTCACACCATCAGTATCTTACTGCTTGAGATGATTGCGGGCATGGGTGGATAAAATATCGCCCCTTACTGCTTTTTTATTTATTTTATTATGTCCCTTTCGGAATTTTTCCTTTTGGATAGCACAAAGTTTCATATTTATTTTCAGAAAATTTTGCGCAGTTTTAATTGATAAATAATCCTAAAGACCTTCACAAAAGCAACATTCATCAGTGAGGTAGTTTCGTGTGAATGAAATAATTGAACATTTCACATATCTTCTTCTGATAATTGAATAAGTTGTCCTTTAGTTGATACAGATACTGAAGTGAGTATGGCGAGTGCACTCGATGTATACGTTAAAAATGTGCTTACATTCACCTCTTCAGGTTTGCTTTTTCAGGATATCTATTTTCCATTTTAAAGCCGTCGAATGCGTCCTGTTTCTGTTCCATTTGTTGTATTTTCTCAGTCAACAGGATTTTTCATTCAGGACACCGAAAGGATTTTTTATTTTGTTGTAGGGGAAAGAGCGCAGTTCTATGAAGAAAATGATTTTGAAATTTCGAATGA